ATTGAAGAAAGTTAGCCAAGATATAGTAAAAAACTTTTATCCTCACTGTGTGTAAACTCAGTTATCACTATTTTGTTATTTCACACATTTTATGAATAATTAAAAGTTTATTGAACATATACTATATGCTTAGCTCTATGCAAAGTACTATTTATTTGACATGCAAAGCTCTATGCAAAGTACTATTTATTTGAAGGATGATGTACAATTTTTTGTAAAATTATACGGATATATGATCTTCTCATGTTCAATGACCTTATACCAAATTAAAACGAGAGTGCAAATGAAAATTTATAACCAAGAAAACAAGAAAATTTGTAAAAATGTTAAATTTTGAGGTCTATGTTTGAAATATCAACAAAGACAAGGGAAGTCTGAGGATATTTAGTAAAGAAAAGACCTTAAAAGATGAGGCAAATCTGGAAAGGTATAAGAAAGACAAAATAGACAATACTTCCTCCCTCACGCTCTTTCTCCCTTTCTTCCTTCCTTTCATTCAATGAATATTATTAACTCATGACCACCAGGAACTGTGCTAAACATTGGAAATTTAGTATTTGGCAAATCAGAGCCCTTAACATAAAGCCCATGGTCTAGTTACTTGGACTACTGAATGAAAACATGGAAAGAACAAACAATGTTACACAGGCAAGCAAACAAGTAAGCTCAAGGAGAGCAAATTTTGAGGAAGTAAAGGAAATATATCTGTATAAGTATGGCAATTTTAGGTTGTGAATGACTTGGAAATGAAACAGAGAAACTGACCTGATGTGGGAGAAGTCTAGGAAATAATCTTATGAACTAAACCTTTTTGTGGTTCCTTTACTAAAACCATTCAGAAAATATTTAGATTGACAATATAAATAAATGATTATATAAATAAATAAAATTTTTAAGTAGATCTTTAATTTTTGATGTAGACTGAACAAATATTTCTTGATCAACTATTTTGATTAGGGAATAAACTTTTCAAAATATTTATTAATTTTTGCCCTTTTTCCAAGGAGAGTTTTCCACATGAATCTTCTCCCAAAAATAGATTTTACGTTAAGAACTTTCACACTAGAGGCTCTTCTCTGCTGTCGCTCTGTTTAGTCTCAGCACCTATCTGAGTATTCCTATGGCTAGGAATCAGAAAAACATTCCCTATTGGAGAATGTCTCCAGGCCAGGGCCGAAAGCAGAGAAAAAGTCAGGGCTTTTGCAGATAGAAGATTCCTTGACCACCTTCTGTCCCACCCCCTCAACAGACCATGTCCAGACAGAGCAACATAAGAAGAATTCCCTTGAGTTTCCCATTACCCCGCTAATGCTGAGGCACAGGAACTACATCCAGTTGGTGGAAAAGGAAACAAACCTTTCCAGCAGACTGGTATGTAGCTGCTACCAACAAATTCTAGTGTTTCCAAGTATTAGAACCACCACTGAATTCTGGGGAGCTACACATAATTATTTTACAGAGTGTAATTCTCTAGCCATATTCCATTAGCTGGTTCCTGTACAAGGTGATAATAATCATTTGAGTTATTCACATTTGAGTTGCCCTAGATAACCTATTTCACTTTATAACCTAAAGAACTCTTTTAGGAAATAATTCAATCACCAGAGTATCTTTTCTAACCCCTCTCACTGCTGACTGGAAAAAGGTTCTAACACTAGAGTGGAAGGATGGGAGCAAATATATTAATTCAGTTTTACCTGAAGGAAACAGAAAAATATAACATTTAGATGCTAATGAAGTGGGTTTTCTCACTATTTGACTACAACCCACAGGATAATATATTTGGATAATATATTTTATGTCATGAACCAGTAAATAACCATAAAAATTTTTATATAACTGACATAAAAATTCATGAAATAATTCTTCTTACTATGAAGCATCACGCCTGTGATTTTTTAAAAATTCTATTATATTTTAATTTTGAAATTTTTTAAATGTTCATTCAGAAACCAATAAATTTTTTGCCTCAGTTAATATAAATCCCTAGTGTTTTAACTTGCTCTATATGGCACTAGGGATAATTTTTTAAAAACTTAACACTTAATAAATCACTTCAATAATACGAATCAAATGATTTTTAATTCTCGGGTACACATCTCCCTACATGTTCACTGTAACAGTTTTGTCATAAATCTATATTTATTTACCCATAAACATTGCTATTTAGCATCCTTCTTGCAGAAATACATTTCAAAAAAAGTCCCCAAGAGTCAATGCAATTGCTACATCTATGGTCAGCCCCTGGCCAGCCCCGCAGCCTTCTTCTAAAATGACAACCCCTTCTCTCTACCTACACAAGTCAGGAGGAGACTCCCATCTGAAGCTAACACAAGATCCAAAGTGCATACCCAACCAAAGAGGAACCAATTCTTTGGCTGGGAGCTAAGTCACATTAATGCCTGAATGAGAGTGAAAGTCCCCAAACAATGCAGAAGCTGCCAGAGGAATGCTTTCTAAGGCCCTTTTCTTTATTTTTTGGGTGGGTGTGTGGGTGTGTTTTGATTCGCCATTTTTTAAATTAATTAATTTATTTTTAATTCTTTAATGTCACTGCATATTTGACCCCTTTTACCCCATCTACCACCCTCCTCTCCGATTCACCATTTTTAAGCTAGTTTAGGTTTCTGTTACTTGATCATCAACAAATTCTGACAACAGAGAATTCAAAAGATCATTGCATTTATGTAGATAAATTAATTCCAAATAATAATGAATTTTTCTAGAGTCTACATGCTCATAATAAGAAAATAAATCATTTACCAGGCAAGAAAATTTGAGTATTGTGTTCTAATTTATTAATTTTTATTATGTCTAAAAAGTATAACTAGTAAATGAGTTCCATAGTTTATTACTTTTTTAAAAATATCACATTTTATATAGACTCCTTTATTCCTAATGAGTTATTACTTAAATATTTAGCATATAACTTCTGAAATCAAGTTCTCACTAACATTTTCACTGAGACATTTAAACCATTTAAACCACCCATCTGTTCTCTTATTTGCACAGATTGTTAAACTGTACACTAACCATCTGTCTTTTTAGCTGGTGCAGAATGATTCACTAAATACACAACGCTCAGTTCACTAGGATTTTATAATCCAAAATAACATTAGAAAAGTTAAGAAGTGCCCAGATACTTTTCTTTATCAGATATAGTGTATAACAACCTGAAGAAGACTAGTACAGCCAAAATCGAAATACCAACAGCTATCAGTGGTCATTAACACAAACTAGAAAAAAATTAATGCCTTTGAAAACATCTAAGGCATTAATTTATTATCATTAAAATAACATTACATTAAAATAAAGATAATAACAAATACTTTAAAAACAGCTTTGAATTTAAACCTGAATTTAGGGGTATGTTTTAGTAGGGGGTTTTTTTGGTGTGTTTGTTTTTGTACTCTACAGCCCACATACACATGTGCATTTGGTTATAAGGTGTACTTGTGCATTCACATGATCGATAGATTGATCTATGTATATTTCCCTCCCACCCTCCCGAAACAAGTTTCAAAAACATGCTCACTTGGCATGATTTAGAGAGAAATTTTATTATACACTTTTACTGATTCATTTTAAGTAGATATTTAGGGTCCCATCGGAACTATATGAATAAATTCAAGAAATAGTAAGACTATGAAAAGCAAAGTTACAAATAAAATTTTAAAAATTCCATTCTCTTAACAAAACATAATGCAAAAAGCTACATTGCCACATAAGCTTTTTGGCTCAAAATATCTCAGATGATTATTACACTTTCTTAACTACATTTGAGCTGAAAATTCAAAGTGAATAAATTCTTATCGACAGAAACAGAATTATACTTCTATTGCTATATGTTCTTGTGGGTTTGGGGGTTTTTGTTCTTGTTTTTATTTTTAATGATGAGAAGCATTGAGTAGAGTATGGTTCTATGTGTAAATTAACAGAGAAGGAGAAAATCCAATTTTTCCTCACATAATGAAATTCACAAAAGATTGAATTATAATTCTTTTGTCAGCACTTGTTGACAAATCTGTTTAATGTTTGTAGTAACAGAGTGTACATACTACATGTCATGCCATAAACAATATTTTGAGGTTAGCAAAACTCAATTATATAAGTTTAACATGTACAAGAGACAGGCTAGACTACTCGTTAAGCAAGTCTAGTAAGTCAAGTATTTTTTATTATAAACTTTTAAAGTGTTTACCATTTGTTAAATATTATGGTGGAAAGCCTCCTGATAATAAATAAGAAGTGACTATTTTCCAAAAGTAAAGTGCCAGCAAGTAGACTCTGATTTGAATAACTAAACATTCTACCATTTTACATTTTTCCTTTCTTTCAAAGTATTCTTTCTCAACTATACATTTTTTACCTATTACTGTGAGCAAGAAGAAAATGAATGGGAATTCATCTTGGGCCAAATGTCCACCTGTGTTTCTTTTCCTAGAAGTTAAAATTCAAGTACAACATGTAGGAAAAATGAATGAGCTTCCTATTTTAATCAGTGTTGTACTGACAATAACGTCAAAAAGTCAGTTTTTGTCTCAGCTTCTCCTTTGATTAGCTGTGCAACCCAGGCAAGTCATTTAACCTGAATTTTAGCTCCTAATTTTTAAATCTGGGAGTTAAATTATCTGCTCTTTTCAATACATTGGGTTGTGATGGAGATCGAATGGCAGAAAACTGTAAAAATGTGCCGTTAATAGTGAAAGCTAAAAAGGGATCAAATTTGGAGAGCTGAAAAAAAAACCTTTTGATCATCTGCTCCTATAAGGCATTAAAAAATACAGGAGGTTAAAGAGCAAGCTCTCTCACTCTAAGCAACACCATTTCCTTGCATATAGTGATTGCTAGATTCAACTGACCCATTGTCTTTTACTAACCTATAAATTGGATGACATACTATGTGCAAAACTTTATTCTACAATGTAACAAAGCTATGAATGGGGGGATTCTGGGTGGCTGGGATAAGGGTAGCAG